TTCGTCAGAATTTATTTTCTGACCGTTATCATGGCGTTTTTTTGTTAGTTTTTTATTTTGTTTTTTTCCAGAAAAGGTCGTTTTTACCGATCCCTCACGTACCTTAAAGTAAAGCGTTTTCTCTCACTTTAACTTTTAAAATCAGTTAATTTGTAGAGATTTTAAATAATTTTCATGTGATGGTAATTTCTTATGTAATGTAAAATGCCGCAAAGTAGAGTGAACACAAGAATTTTATCACCATACCGTGCGACATTCTTCACGCAGTATAGTTGAATGTCGTATTCATTGGCCAGTCAACACTATCGACCATCAGTATTCCATATTCCCCGCTGAGCGAGCATCCCATAATAAGCGAGCTTCACACCATCTGTCATCCGGACGGCGGGTGGCGTTTTGGAGATGAATGGCAAACTAGAATTTCAGGCGGTTAAACCATTTGTTCTTAAGAACTTCATGTCCCATTTGCGAGACCACTATAGAATTTCAGATCGGATATCCGAACGCGGGCAAGTCCAGTTTGTTGCGGGCGATATCAAGAGCAAGGCCAAAAGTCGCATCCTATCCGTTTACAACGGTGAAGCCCCACGTCGGCATCATCGAATATCCAGACTACACGCAGTTATCAGGTAGCTATTTGCTCTTTTGAAAATTCTGCGCTGCGGCAGTTTTATTTCAAGTAAACGGCAACAGTCAGCCGTTTAATAATTTGCGTACTTGCAACCGTTCCCTGGCGCTTACTATAGAAAACAAATATCTTGGTACTGGATTATTACTAAGCTTACCCCTATACCTAAGCCTCACCATTGTTGCGTCCGTGTTTAAGTTTGTCATGGCGTTTACGTAAGTTGAAAATTTAGCAGCGATGCGGCAAAAGCCACACATTACCACTCTAGGCTGAAAAGCAAATTAGTTTCAGTCCATACCGGTATAGACTGATGTGCGAATTAATTTCCGTCTCTACCGGTATGGAAGGCTTACATCTCTGAATGGTGACATATGTTTACGGACAGTGCATTTCGGTAGGTGTCCGAATGTTTTCCGAATGGTTCAGCTATGCACAGTGATTCGGTTTTGGCCCCTAAGCTTTAGACACCTATACAGTACACATCGGGAATATTCCAGATACACTTTTCCGTCTGTCGCAGAGACCATCGCAGATATGGCCGTTTTTGCTCAGTGGGTACTACCGTATGCTTGATTTTGTTTGTGCATATCATCGTTTTAATTTTGCTGTTTTTGCTGCAGTGGCGGATATTCCGGGCATTTTACCAGGCGCGCACGAAAACCGCGGCCTCGGCATTGAGTTCCTGCGGCATATCGAGCGCTGTCGGTGTCTGGTGTTCGTCATTGACCTGTCTCTGCCCGAACCATGGAACCAGCTGAAGGATCTGAAGATGGAGCTGAGCTTCTACAATGCTGAACTGCTTGACAGGCATTCAATCGTGATCGGCAACAAGATCGACGTCGCCGGTGCCATCGATTCGCTGCGTCGGTGGCAGCAGATGGCCGACGGCGAGGTCGTGGCGATTTCCGCTAAGGAAAGGACTGGAACCGACGGGATCCCGACACTGCTTCGCGCACTCTGCGATCGCGTCAGCTGATGTGCTGGAGTCATCGCTGTCTCCGTCTGTTCCGTTAGATCGGTGATTATCCCTTGTCGCCAATGCCAACTTTTCCACGATTTTTTTGTGAGGCTCTACGATCAGAAATTTGACTTTCAGCACACAGCTCTTAATTAAAAAGAAACTGACTGACGGCCGAGATGTCGCGTCGCCTGCGCACTGATGAAAGAGCTGTTCGTACTTTGATGCTCTGTAAGTCTAATAAACACAAGCTAAAGTATTCTGTGTACTCAACCTTGCCATACGATTACTTGCTTCAGTTTTTAGCTTGTCAGAAGCTGCCTTGCAACGCATAAAAGGAAAACTAGTAAGAAAATTCAGTTGAAATTAACGAATACTTAATTTTTATTAAGACGCAAAGAATTTTAATTGTATAACTTCAAATGATGGACCACCTCTTTCAGAATTAGAGCAGTAACGCACTGACATGCTGCGACTACTTGTCGCAGACGAGCTGATTTAATCATTGCATACTTCATTTTTCGGCGCAGAATTCGTAGCGATTGTATGCATGACAAGTTATTTTAACAAATCAGTCAACGATAGAAATATGTTGCATAAAATTCATCTTCTTCATCTTCATCTTCCATCGCAGCTTCTCCTTTCGGGTCGCGGAGGCAGACGCGTCAGACAGTGCTTC